TCCCTATACATTTTTCTTTTTATAGTGAAGAAGTCAGAGATAACATGTCAGATAGTTCTGGAAAATCTGCCTCTGAGTTTTGTATATGTCATCAAATCAAAATAAGAACTGAAACGTGTTTTTATCATTCAGTCATGTTAATCAAGAACTGTGTTTCAAAAGCAGAAATTGGCCTCCAAGTTTTTCTGTAAGTTAATGTGCTCTTAACTCACAGAAAAAAAATGAATTAATAGTACTTTGCCATGGAATATACATTTGAATAGCAATAGCCCAAACCAGTATCTGTTACACAGTTTATCAAAATTGATACATTTTACTGGTCTAGCTATACCAAATCTTGGTGGGGATTAGCAAGATGTAAAAAGAATAAAACACAGCAGTTAAACAAGCTGGAATGCCTGAAATCTTGAGACAGTACAGCATGTTTCTTCTTTGTATTGGTGAGGATAACAAAAGAAAGCAAAAAGCAGACATTCGGAGGTAGAAAAAAAAATGTAATCATGATCTTGCCCATCTCAGTTAATCTAGTGGAGTCTGTTGTACAGACAGAAGTACAATCCACCACTTGAAATTCTCTAACAAGGTACTACAGGGATGGTTCTGCATGGAAAGTCCCTAGGGAGGGGAAAAAGAAGGTAGGGGGTGGACTCAGCTCCCAACTAAATATAATGGGAGTACTGTCTAAACGGTACAACTCAACCCCGACTGAATAAAGTGCACACACAAAGTAAATTAATAAAATTTTGCAAGCACAGTCACTGTTATATCATTATACAATAATTATTTGGAATATTTCCATCTATCAATAATGCCATCTGTCCCACCCAATACAAATGGACTACAACCCATCTGGCTTATTTTTTTCTATTGATTACTCCACTGAATGAGTTAGCAAAACCGCTTATAAAATCATCATATTACATGACACTGTCATTAAAAGATGTGAAGTAAAGAAAAACACAAGATGAGACTTAATTGGAAAACTGTCAGTTCTTCTTCCAGAAAGTTTTAGCAATGCTTTTTTTTTTGGCTACTTAAAAAAAAAAAAAAAAGCTCTAAATGCTAACTACTGGATTAGGCAGAAACTGTTCTACCACACAATTGTTACTATTTCTGACTAGGTATGTTACAGAAGCTCCCTAAATGTATCTCCTTAAGAGTGTCAAAATGTCCCGAAGTGTGCCTGGGTATCACAAAGAAACTGTGGAAGGAGTGTAACTTAAAAATAGGGTGGGGGGAAGCTGCTGATGGCTGGCATTTGTATTTGTTAATTCCAATTATTCTTCCTAGGTTTTGGCTTTGATTATTTGTTTGCATAATTGTCTTTATGCTATTTTTGCAGCCTCTGGGGTTTTTTTTGTTTAACTACTGCTTCCATCAACTAGATTTTAATTTCTACAACGGCAGCCTGCTTTTTCTTTTGATTTTAACCACTGCTTCCCTTAACTATATCTGAATTTCTCCAACAACCACTACTTAACAACAATGCAGCCATATCCATCGACAGAACTTAAACGCTTACCTCGGCTCCCTTACTCTAGATCTCAGTTCCTACAATACCCTCTTAGTTTTAACAAAGGAAATCTCTCTTGTGTACATTCAAAATGTTGATCCAAAGATCTTTTCATTAGCCCAGTGATTAAGGACTTTTTTTTTTGAGTGAGATCTCACTGGGGCTGCTTTCTTAGCCTTCCCTCCCCACTATTTTTTTCTTTCTCCATGGTGGAGTTCTACTGCAACCTTCCAGCCCTCCACCAGATTTGTGTTTCCTCTGTCACCCCGGATGGCTTTTCCAGTGACACGGTGACTCAAACTGACACAGGAAGGAAGAAGAGAGAGGGACAGGGGCTGGATTCCAGCTCTGGGGACACAACCTTTGATGGCTGTGGGTAACTGGAGTTCAGGGAGGCAATGCCCGGGGTTATACTGGAGGGATGGGGCTGCAGGGAATGGTGCTGGAAGCACAGATACTGAGCTGCCATGTGGAATGAGGGAAATCAGGATGACAGCAGTAGAAAGGAGCTGCGTAGGAAGCAAGGAATGATGCTCGAATAAGGAAGGGGCCAGAGACTGGGTGACTGAAACAAGTTAGGAGTTGCTAGGGGGTCCAGCCTGCTTACTGTTACTATTTTCTCCCTCTCTTACAGGCCCCTCCCATCCTTGATGCTCACTAGAGCCACTCCTCTGGTTATCAATGAAATAATTTGGTTATTCTGAAACATACTCAATTTATCTTTCTCTTCATAACACAAGAAATTCCTAGAAGACAATTGTTAGAATTGTTAGGAGTCCTCTAAAGTCCAGGTAAGCGTGTCTGACCCTGTGGCCTTATCTTAATGCAAGCTTTGATCAACTCCGTGCCCACATCGTGCTCTTAGAAGTAAACCTTTTGTGTTATATAAACACATCCAGAGAGCAATTCTCACACTTATCTTTATATTATGTCCTGGTAGGTCCAGTTTATTTGTATCCGAAACAATTTATACAACCCCTTTTGTGCTTTATAGACTACTGACATCAAATATGTAGAATGATTCAACTGAAGTTGCTGAACGGTGTTATTTATGTAGAGGATATTTACCAGACATCACTATGTGACAGAACAGCAATATTTTTTGGTGCTCTAAAAAAAATATTTGGCAGTTCTAATGCATGTGATTTAGTCACTGTGTTAAACACAAATACCTCAATCTTAATATACCATCATTTTGCTATTAAATACAGAACACTCAACAAACAGAAATGTAGAGTCTAAAATCCATCTTTAAAACATAATTAGGTCTATGGTTTGTAATGCCTAGTTTACGAGAAATGAGCTCTGAGCTGCACTGTTTTGTTGGCACAAACCAACTCCTTTTTCCACGGATGACAGAAGCAGAACAATTTCAACTGAGACACCATTTGTTCTTATTAAGTAATCTGTAGGTTGCTATTGATTCAGGCCTTTGGCCACTGCTTGAAATGCAGTTCAAGAATAATAAAATACTTCTGGTTTGGCTGACTTAGTTTACTTGCAGAAAACAGACCATTATTTCATGTCACGGTATCTGACAGAACTGTCTGTAGTAGTATTGGGATACCAAAAACTAACCAAAACCACACAAGTAAGGGATATGCTACTTAGACTCTTAAATACAGATGCCTTCAGAGTAAAGCTACTGTGTTTTGGCTTCCACACAGAAAGACAGTATCTTACAACACTCCACAGACTGCTTCAAAGAAAATAGTAAGAAGTGTAAAAACTACACTTCGTGTTTTCACTGATTCTGTGGAATAAGCGAGAGAGAAGTACAACTGTTGTACAATTTATCAGTCATTTTACAAACATCTTTCAAATTTCAAACTTTACTGTTTTCCTTGTTCGGAGAGTAAAGGAACAATTCTCCTAACACCATTCCAGCTAGTGCTTCTCCTCCAATACAAAACCTCTATTCCCATTAACAGGACAATTGTATATTCAGGGCAGGACAATTGTTCTGGTTCCTTGTAACAGAAGTGTTTGATACATCTTTTTCTCTGCTTTGCTGTGTACACAAACCCTTACTAATCAAAAAAGTACGCATAGCCTGAGGAAAAATTCAATTCGTCTGTCTGAACCTCCTATTGACAAAATGATAGGGAAATTGGAACATCTGACTGCTAATAACATCTCTTTCCCACTGATATTTTAATTTTTTCCAAAGCATTTTTAAATCGTGTTGTGGCACACATTACTTCATCTGCTAATATATTTTTGCTCTTTCTGATACTGTCATTAATGTATATGATCTGATAAGCACAGCATAAGATTGGTGAACACCCTCTAGGATTTCTTGATGCTCCTCTAGGGTGTTTTTTCTTAACCATTCCTGAGAACTGTTAGGCAGCTAACTCTTCATAGAAGTATGTGTAGGCAGCAATCTATTTTTTAAGCTATGGCTTGAACAACCAAAAAGTGTCATGTAGGCTTCATGGTCATGGTACATATTACTAACCAGTCACATAGCAAAAACCTGAATTGAAGTAAAAAACCAGAATTGAACTCAGATTCAATACACTTGGTCTTGGAGGAACAGTAAACACTATTTAAGAGGGTCCTTTATTAATAAATCAAGGTTGAATGTGTAAGCTTCTAAGTAAAGCCTACATCTGTACTCAGAAAGACAAGTGCCTAGTGCAGAGACTGAAAGTGAAGGCAAATAGAAGGAAAGCTTCAGGTGCATTTTTCCTTCTTCTGTGGCAATATTAACATATGCTATGCTTCCAAGCCATGTATTTCCCTGAGAAATAATAATTAAGTTATATTAAATTATACAGCAATTATGTAGTTACTGCCCTTTTTTACTCATTTGTGGAGAAGTTCTGTTTTATTTACAAGATTTGTGGCCATTACCTTTTTAATGCTTGCAGGGTGTTCCCTGCCTATTTAAGAAAAATGGTACATACATAATAGAAATGATTATGGTATCATTATAAATCACTGTGCAAATTATTATGCTATTGGAGATAATCTAGGGTCAACCAATAGAAAGGCACGCCCCGATCTGGTCTTAGAAGTTCAGCTGAATAATAAGCAATAACGAGCAGTAAACTGCTAAACTCAGTTGTCATGACAATATTGCTTTTAAGAAAGACTGGGGAAAAAACCTCAACAGAACAACTCACAAAAAGTTGAAGTAAAATGCCCAGTTCCTATTATGTAAAAATATATGGGCAGAGGTAATTCAAATAAGATATTGTTCACATTTTTGTTGGAGGAATTGACTGCTCTTAAAGAGTTCTTTAACATACTGCTTTGGGGAATTAAGACAAAGTTAGTGATGAATATAACTTTCTAGCAATTTTTCTTCTCAGTTGTGCACAACCACTTATGAGCCAGAACATAACAGCTCAATCAAACCTTATTATATCAGCTTTACTTGAACCCCTCTGAAACGTACTGAGAACATTCTGATATTACTACAAGACTTAGGGGGGTGAGAAAGACAACCCAGAAAGAAGAAAATGGATATCACAGCTACCTTTTTACATTCTCTTAATTTCTTCTGCCATATAGAGCGAGCAATAGGAATGTGCTTGCTGTCAGTCACATAGCAGCTGGCTGTGATGACGTGGTGGAGTGCAGTCTTCTGGCTCATAGCTTGAAGAACTCGCTCAACATGACGGAGGGAAACTATGGCCTCAGTCCATATGCCACCACTAACAAGCTGCATCGTACAAGGTACTAGAGCAATCTGTCCAGCACAGTAGAGAACATCTCCAACCTAGAAGAAAATAAAAATAAGTGAATAAGATTCTGGGAGTGTATAGAAGGCAAGGGAAGCACTTTTCTCTTTTCCAGGTAGTTTCTTTCAACAGTACTGTTCTTTGCCATCATTTGTCACAAATGGAGCAAACATGCCAGTCTAAAGATAATTTTTGATAGGGACTTAACTACAATATAGAAACACAGCACTGCAATAAACTTTAACCTAACAGTTAATACATGGATGTATGTGTCAGCTCAAAACAATAATATCTGATACTGACTGTTACAGCTGCTGGATCACACTGATGCCCCAACACGGTTAAATATGTTCTTACTTTCTTTTTTTGAGTGATGATGCACACTATCTTTGGATCAGTGCTATTTTTTTTTAACTTCTAAGCTTAAGCTTTGTTTTATGTAAGTATACACAAGAAAGTATATTTGTAATGTCTTTAGTGAAGTAATTTAAAAATACTATAAAAATAATACTGCAGAACAGCTAAAAGACTGTGTATGAAAAAAAGTCATGATAATCCACCAGAAGGTAAAAGAAAATTGCAGATTGAAAATAAGATGCAGAAGAATGTCACTTGACCAAAAAGATGGGTTCACCTTTTGGAAATGGAATTAAATGGGTGGCCAGATATACCATCATTACATGTTTTAAGCTGAGCTGCAACGCAGTTACTTTGTGTCTGATTTTCCAAAGGCTTCCTGGCAACACTCTGAAGACCTACTTTTTTAACAGCAGCCAGCAAAGGAAACATTTATTCTTACTATTCAGACATCTCAAAGATTTATTATAAAATCTTAATGTAAATATCAAAACTTTTCATCCTCTTATGCTGTAATTCTCTAGAAAGTCTCTACATTTCCTGATCAGTGAAGCAGTAAATTTTATTCAATATCAAAAGAAAACTAAGTATAGAAGTGGGAAGTAAGGTGGGCGTAAGCAGCTTTGAAGTCAGCACAAGAAGCATTTTGCTAGGAGTAAAGAGAGGGAAACTGGACTGTGCAAGGAATCTTCAGGAAGAATTTTGCAGAACTTACTGTATAAACAGTAAAAATTCCTCAGAATTAAGAATAATTAAAAAAGAAATCTGTGTCCTAGAAGACGTGGCAATCAAACCATGTGACAGACCCATATGCAACTCCAAATCTGTCCTCGTAACTGTCTGTGTCTCACAAAAGACTCACACATGTAACTATTGGAAGAGTATCTTATACAATTTGGCATACAAGTTCTATGATTAGCAGCTGAAGAGGGGGAGGAGGCAGAGAGGAAACATGTCAACTGACACCCATCAACTATTTAAATTGTTTAGAATATCTGAAATATTGTTTTGATAATGCTATATATAATCCTGAATTTGGAAAAAAAAAATATGCAAGTAATATTTTGGTTTATAGGAACAAATGGTCTTTTTTTTTTTACGGTGCTATATTAAAACATGTGCCATTGAACAAGGGAGTCCAGCCAGCTACCAAGTGGCATACTGACAAGATGAGAAACAAATTCAGGAAGATATAATTCAGAGGGGCACAGGTTCATTTTTAAAGCAAGCCATTCATTTTCACCTCTGCAGAGTGAAATCCATGCATTAGTCAAAAACTCCAATACAGGTAGTTTATACTTCTACAGAAAAAAATCACACTGGCAATATTTCTTCCTTTTTTTCCTGTTGGGCTGCTGGTTTTCCATGCATCACCCATGTTAATTATTAGGTAGACAGAAGAGCTGTTCAACCAGTTCACTTCCCCTATTCTTGAACAGATTGTTTGAGACATAATATGAATACTAATTAACGATAAAATATCTGTCAGTGTTTTGAAATACGGACCAAGATAGCACTTTCTTAAAGTATCCTGGATAGTTCTGATACAATTAGCCCCACTGGTCATAAGCAAGGTCAAAAAAAAAACTCTGAAGGATTTGAGCAAAATTGGCACCACTTTTGGCTCGGATTCAGTGGGAATTTTGCAGAGTTCTTTAAAAAACAATTTAAAAAAACCCCTCTGTTCCTAACATACTTGTTTGTATCTTAAGACGTAATTAATAGAAAAACAATGTTCCTAACAAGCCACCATGTTATGGAAGGGCGGATGCAAGGGGGAAAGAGGGGAAAAGGGTCAAAACACGGCCACCGGTTTGCAGCAACTGTATTTCAGGGGGACATAATTTAGGACAAAGGAAGGAGGAGGGATGTTCCCCTTCTCTTTCCCAGTGACTTGGTCATGAAAAGCAAGCATAAATAAACAATCAGCAGGGGCAAAGCAGCAAACCAGTACAAACACTGTTTTAGCAGATTTCAAGAGGTTGTCTCTAGAATGTTTGAAGCATTACACAGGAAATTGTTAGCAGAGTAAAAAGCAGTTAAAACAGGGACGACATCATAGTATCTTGTTCACAGTACTGAAATCTTACAACCGGAGATGTCACAATGTATGGTGTCAGTCCTTGTGTTGTGAAAGTGTTCTGCAAAACCCTGCTAGAACCTTGCAACAGTTTATCTTTTTGGAGCATCTACAAGGATAACAGAAGATCTTTCAGGCTATAGATTCACAGTGTATCAAGTCTAGAGGACTCGCATATCCAGTAAACTCAGCATAGAAACAAAACTACGATATAATGGATGTGTATTTATACACTAGATGTCTCAGCTTACACTGATGATTTAATTTTCACTGCAGCCCATACACATATTTCCAGTGCTAAAATTTCATTAAAGATTTGACAAACCAAAGCCAAAAAAACTTGTACTGCTGAGATGCTCACTTGTACCAATTTATTTCCAATATAGCTCCACAGCAGTAAGCAGTTTATAAATGGGGCCTCACGCGATTCCACATTTCTTCCCTCCTTATTTTCACTTGTATCACTGCAAGTTAAATGAAAGGTGAGCCTTAATAAGCTAACATAATAGTTTAGCAGCTGTTTTGCTCAGTTAGCACAACTGTAAATAATCAAGGGAATTCAGTGGACGATCAGAACCTCAGAGTATGCAATCCATACTCTAACAAATAGGAATGCTAAGCTCTTATTTGAGAATTACTGCTTTTCATAGTGTAGCTGTGCTGCAGGAATTAAGTATAATATAGAGCTAGATCCCAGCTAATACAGAGAGAAGACAGTATAGTAGCAAATTATCATTTTATTTCACCTTTTTTTTTTAAGCTGCATTCCCTTTTTAGGAATGCAGAAGGAAAGCATCTATGGTACCATAGAAAGAAAAAGTCAGAAGAATGCTTGGTGCCACTTTGAACTGTTCAACTGTTCTGTCCCATGGAAAAGTTTTTAATAGTGTTATAAGTTACCGAAAGGACACAACATATCTCCCAGAAAATAAAATTCAGGAAAAGAAACAATGAGAAAAACAAGCTTAATTGGACAAAAGGACTAACTTAAGCTGCTAATTAGCAAGAGAAAGCTATAATTATTGCTACTTAGAAAGAAACAGAAGTAATAGGATACCTATAGATATGCATGGAGTTGTTTTTTTTTAATTAAAGGCCAACAGCAACTATGGAAACTTTATGAAACTTTTCCTGCTGGTATCATTAAGACTTGCTAGTGATAAACTGGCACAATACAAAAATTGCAGGGAACTGCTAACAGAGACATTTCAACCATTCACCCACAGGTATTTAGGCCAATGTTAATAGTTGCACCGTATGAACAAACGCCTATTTCTTGGGAAGGACAGAGGACGGAGTCAATACGCAATCAGCAAAATCTTTGTTATGAATGCAGTTTGGTGTCTGAGTGACTGCTGCCCTTTAACAGGTCAGGGTACACACAAGATCCAGTGACCCCCTGACCTAACAGTGAAATAACCCACCATTATGTTCAGTCAATGTAAATAAGCATAACTGACAATGCACTAATAGGCTGCCTCTGGTCAGCCATGTGTACCTCTGACCTTAATGAAGACCTAAATCAATTAATACTCCAGGCAATAAAGACCTCTGGCTGATTAAGTTAGACAGAAATCATCCTTTCTAACGGGATTAAAGCTGTAAGGTGGTGAACTTTTTATTTAATACATGATAATCCTTTCTTCCTAGGGCCCTCTTATTTTAGCTAATGACGGTAAAATTGCTTTTTGCAATGTGAAATCTTTTATTCAACTACCTTGTGTGAATAAAGTTTTAAAGGTACTGCTTAGACAACAGTAATTGAAAAGCTTTGAGTTCACATTATGAACACAAATTGTAGCTGACTAATATGGTTTTAATACACCACAACCTTCAATATACTTCACATTTTTCTTGAACTGTTACAAATTTGTAGTCTAAAAATTCCATAAATGAGTTGATCACACATAGTTTAGTTTGATACAGGCTTTCTTTTGAGAAAATGTGTACAGTTATCAGCACCTAAAAGATGAAGGATATATTCCTAAATGAAAAATAAAAAAAAAGTTATGATTATCTTTCACTAAAAAAATTTGACACTTATAAGAATCCACATATAATAGTAAAATGCTTGCATATCATACTCTAAAGTCCAGAACATCCCTTTAAATGAAATAATATTTTTTCCTAGTTAGGTCAAAGAAGTATAATCAATCAATACCATATTATTGCTATCCTATTGAAATAGCTGTAACATTTCCCCATTTTTCAGAGATTTATAACTCAGTTTTCAAATGCTGTGACTCTAGTTTGCTAATCCTCATTTTGGGATGGAGCTTCATATGTTTCGAAATGTATTTGATCATAAGCTACAAGACTACAAAACACTCATCTTTTTGTATTGTTCTTCACTATCAAAGTTTACTTTATCAAAGTGTGATTTAAATTTTTCTCTTTGAACTTATGTATTTGTGGATTGAAAATTCACAGGACATTTTTTATCAAGAACTGAAATAAAAAACTGCAATTTCATGGATGCTAAACTAGGCTGTATAATTTTTTTTTTTTATCTGTAGTTTAGCAAAATTAAGATACACCGTTCCACAAAGTCGTATTTGACACTGAGCACAGTGTCATAACTTTATCAACACACCTAAAACT